CACCAAGTGGGGGGATGGCTAGCCCCTTAGAGGCCTGTCATCTGCAGCTCTGGTAATCATCGGCCTCTTGGACTTTTTCTTTTTTGGTATTGTTTTGTATACTTTTTATGTTTTATATATTTATTGTTTTAATGGATCTTGTGAGCCACCCAGTCCCCCATTAGGGGAGATGGGTGGAGATAAATTTAATTAATTAATTAATTAATAAAAAGAAAGGCAATTACTACTTTTGACAAAATTATGGATAAGGATATTTGTATGATAATGAATATCAGAGTATAGGTAGTCCCCAGTTTAAGAATGAGTTCTGTTCCCAAGGTCTCTCCTTAAGTCAAATTTGTACGTAAGCTGGAACAGCATTATGGCATAATACTGTACAAGTAGTATTGTATAATTAACTTGAACCATTGTGTATTTAACTCGAATTTTGCTACAATAGGCACCTTTCTTAACTATGGGTTGTCCGTAAACTAGGCATTCTTAACCCGGGGACTACCTGTAGTTAAAACTATGTTCTTTCAATTATAATGAACTGTTGTAAAAGCCAGACAGTAAGAAGGGATGACAGAAAATAAGATAAACATCTTCAAATTATGGATCTAGAGATTATTATTAAGAGCACCATAAAATGCAAGAAAAAAACAATCCGTCCTGGGCCATAAAAAATACTCCCTCAAGATTAGTGAGCAGCAAGCAGAAGCTCAGAGTATGAACATGTGATATGAACAAATGATGAACTAGAAAAATGATTATTCTTGCAGAGGTCGAGAAAACTAGAAACAGGGGAAGATAACAGATAAGGTACATGGAAAAGATCAAAGAGATAACAGGACTGTCCTTGGAAAAGGTATGCAATGTTGCCGGAGACAGGGTGAGATTGCAAGCATTTGTCCATGCAGTTACTAGAAGTTGAGTTCAACTCATGTGGCATCTAACTGTTGAACTATGGATTTTAACTTAACAAATCAAACTTTAAGGCCTTAGCCTTTCATCTAAAAGTAAGCAATGAATGATCAGCAGTCACAGTTTAGAGGGAAGCAAACAGCAATATCAAAACAGCTCTGAAGAATTATTAGCTGAGGTTTATGGCTTTGCAAAACAGATACAAAGTCTAAAAGGATGCCTGGAAATGAACATGGAAAAATGGAAAAACAAATTGCTTTCAAAACTTCATCAACTGACCTCCAAATTGCAACTGATTAACTGCATGCTGATCTACATCACAACAGTTTCATACAAATTCTAGAATTATACTTTATTAAATGAAAAATTCATACAATTACAAGAGCCAAAGCCAATTCCCCCATCAGCTGGGACATTTCCAACACTTCAAGTTACTGTTATTACTTTTGGCAAGTCAGGTAAGTTGTATCAGGAAAAGAGAGCAGAGCAAAATTAGTATCAACATTTTTTTTCTTTATCACTACTAATTCCATGCCTTGCAATATTAATTTACACTAAGCTTCAACAAGCAATATATTTGTACCACAGGTGTTGTTGAGTTTTACTAATGGCTCAAAAACATTTTCTTATATTCTTTAGAGATAGAGATAGAAAAGAAGCATAGAAGTTACTTCACAAGGAAACATAGGGCCTCAGCCTCAAATCTATTTCCCAGGAGTTGAAATGTCTATTTGTGCCAATGGAAGTATTTTTCATTAGATTAATTGCCACAGGCAGGGCAGGGCTGCTTTTATTAAGGGTGGGAAGGATTTTGTTTCCATGCTTTAGTTTGCATAGCCCTTGTCAATGTTGTATCCTTCAGAAAAGGACACTGCCAATGTAGCCAAAGTTTTGAATAATCTAACTTCCTTGCTTCTGTACAAATTGTACATGTAAGCTTAAAATCAAGACATTTAACAGCCCAGACATAATGCTGCTTTCCATATAACCAGTGTGAAAAAAATTTTTATTAAAAAGAAGAAATTTATACTTTGCATTAGTTCTATATCTGAAACTTAACTTGCTAAACTACAAACCTGATAAAACTATCGTGATATTTAGAATTCAGTTTGTAGTCTGGCACACGGTGAAGACAAGATTGCACCAGCAGATTTCTGATGATGTGATGATGTCATCTTCTTCTCTCCCTTCCCATGTTCCTTCATAATCTTCTCTGAAGAATTAAAGATCCTCTGAGGCAGACTGGAGATGTAGGAGGGAAGGAATAATGTCCTACCACCACCACTGATACTGCTGATGGAAGCATTCACCCATTACAGGTAGTCCTTGGTTAATGACGGCAATTGGGACCAGAACTGCTGTCGCTAAGCAACATAAAGTGCATCACGTGCTAGTACCGCTTAGTGATGGCAATACTGACTCCCAGTTGCCATTGATAAGCGAATCATCACAGGTTGTTAAGCAAGAATGTCACATGGTCACCATTTGTGACCTCCTACCAACTTCCCAATTGACTTTGCTTGTCGGAAGCTGGCTAAGAAGGTTGCAAATGGCAACCATCTGACCGCTGGATGCGGTCATCATCCGTAATCATCATAATCAGGTTCTCATTTTTAAAGTTAAAAATAAGCCAACTCAGTTCAAGAAACCTCCTGTCTCTTCTCTGACAGCCCGCTTTCTCCATACTAAGTCAAGAACATGAAGACTTGTTTTAGATACGTTCTTCTCTAATCAAATACAAGCGAAAGAAAAAAAATTAGTAATCCAAACTCTGCAATAATTTTAAAAGTAATCAGGCCGCTCACAGCCATGACTATCATATAAATAACTAGCCTATAATACATTTCTGCCATATTTAGTAATAAACAGTACAGTGTATCTACAATAATTAAACCACAATACAATAAGACCTAGACACTCTCCCCAGTGTATCAGACTGAAATGTTCCACAATTTTCAAATCTAAACCAAATCTTCATGCTTCAATATGAGCCATGTGTTACTGCTTTTAATTTGCCATTGTTTGAATGCTGGTTATCACCTTTAAAGCTTTTAAGGTATAGGGCTAAGTTAATTGACAGATTCAATAGGGTTGGGCACGCCCTGGGTCCCATCTCTTAAACAATGCCATGGAATCTAGGTGACATGCCTTTCCTGTCACTGCACCTGCCCTTTAGAACAGAGTTAGCACCAAGATACAGATAGCCTGGCCCTGGCCCTGCCTGTTTTTCCTAAAGTCTTAAAGACCTGGCTTTAAGAGCCAGTTTGGTCTAGTGGTTAAGGCACCAGGCAAGAAAGTAGGAGCCTGTGAGTTCTAGTCTTGCCTTAGACACGAAAGCCGGCTAGGTGACTTTGGGTCAGTCACTCTCTCTCAGTCCAACTCATTTCACATGGTGGTGGTTGTGGGGAAAACAGGAGGAGGAAAGCGTATTAGGTATGCTTGCCGCCTTTACTTATAAAAATAATAAAGGTGAAATTTTAAAATATAAACAAACATACATACATACATATCTATCTAAAATCTTTTCCAAGTCATTGAGTCAGGAGGATTTGTGATCCTGTCTGATTGTCTCTTTATTGGATTGGCAGAATTTTTGTATTAGTTTT